CTTAGGGTAAGTTCTACAATACAATAAATTTGTTTCTTCATAATTGAAGATGGAACCAATAACATGATTATAGTTATAAGAAATAAATGTAAGTAAGTTTTCTAGTACATTCTACTGTCCCTTAACCTTAGTTGACATCGCCAGATTGTTTTCTGTATTACCTAAAGGTTCAACCTTGATGATATCGGGGCCCAGTGTTATACAGTACATGTAAAATGATCGGAAGTTTGAACACTAATCAGAATCTCTTAAAGAGCTTTATATACCACAATAATTATTTAAAATTTGCTTTGTTTTTCAAAGTATGCTGATGCAGTTTTGTTCATAGAAGCGTGGGTTAAAAAGTGATAGAAAAAGAGAATGGAAATCGTGGGGACAAAATGGGATGCATGAAGGCAAAAAATGTTCTTTGTGGCCATAGACATAAATTATCCAAGTGTCACACTCAACTTCAAGCTTCTAGCAGCCAGCTAGAGAGCCTTTATATTATCTATATTGCTCATAAAATAAGTCTTAATCATGGAAAAAATGAAAAGTAGATGAGAATGAAAAGAATCCTGCTTCTGTTTGATTACCACCACAACCCCCTAAAGTACACAAAGCCTCCGGCATAGGTAGTCACCCAGATGAAATTATGTTTAAAAATGAATTATGTATACTTTCATAAACTAATAGCATTAAATATTCTGCAGACAATGCTTTTCAATCTATTTGGTCTCATAACTTTATGCTAAAAAATTATTAAAGATCTCATGAGCTTTTGTGTATGTGTATATTAGGAATTTCCATATTAGAAGTTAAAATTGAAAAATTTGAATTTTAGTGCAATGTAAATAACCTTTTTAACTTAAAAAAGTACATTTCACAAAATAAAAGTTGCTGAAATAAGTGACATTGTTAGGTAGTTTTATATATCTGATAAGTTGGCAGTCTTGATTGACTGGTTGTAATGTACAATCTTAATTTATTTGAAGGAATATTTTCTACTTTATTGAAGCTCATTGGTCTATATTGGTCTCTGAATGAAGTTATCTGTGATTTTGTGACATTATGCATTATTAGTTTGAATAATGAGAAAATACTGGCTTACTTCCAAATAGAACATTATTTATTTGTTATCACCACTAATCTCATCAGGAAAGCTATGTATTGAGAAGGTATCAAAGCTTATAGTGGTGGATATAGGTGTTCCAGTATTCTGATTTTCTCTTGAAAATTAGAATTTTATAATTGACAATGAATATTGTTTGTTTTCCTTGAAGTGAAAGCTGATTTTGTTCATATTTGAGAAAATTGCAAATGCCCAATGAATGACCAATAGTTAATTGATTGTTCTTACAGGTAGATATAGTGGTCATTTAAAATGCAGCTACATGAGTTTGTAGCTCAAATACTGACAAGTATTTCTCTTTAAGATAACTAATTATGTGTGTGTGTGCGCACATGTTTGTGCATGCAGCAGAAGTACTTTATTTCCCATTTCATCACAGAATATTTTAAATATATAAACATTCAAATGTTAACATTTAGTAACAATATTTACTGCTTCAACAAGTACATCCTCAAGTGAAACTGGCTCCTCCACCCTTGGAATTGCATGGATTACATTAAGATGCCAGTAGTTTTATCCATCATTGCTTTTATGCCATTTGTGCAAGTTAACACAGTGAAAAAAAAGCAAATAATGTCTTAGTGATGTTTGACTGCCAGAGCACTGAGGGGTCTAGGGGAGCCCAGGGATCTTTGGACCCCACTTTTTACCACTGGTGCTGTATACCAGTATCACATATAAATACCAATGCAAAGCATATGGCATTACACTAGTATAATAGTACTTTTATTAGGCCCAACTGGTATTTTTCCTTTGAGTATAAGGGTGAATATGTATTAGGAAATCTCTTAATAAGTTTATGACTTTAATAGTCTAATGCAGAAAATATAGATGATGAAATTAATAGTTTATAAGTCAATTGATAAAATCAAAGCATCCTTTAAAAATTTAAAAGTTGCAAAAATTAAAGGTCATAGTAAAAGGGAATAATGGAGTCCTTTCTGCAGGAGGTATGTGTGAATTTTTGTGTGTACCTGTTTCTATCTTCATGATGTGTTTTGTGTTTCTTAAACCAGAATCAGCCTTCCCAGGGGTTAACAGTGGAAAGTACTCCCAATAAAATCAGCACCAAAGTCACTACTGTGTCGCATCATCATTTTACCACAGAGAATTGACACATAATGTAACAAACCATGATTATGTGTGTATATACATAATACACATACATATGTACATACATTTGGGGGGCGGCATTCTAATTAGTAAAATGTTTGTAAATCTGGAAAGCCTCGAACAAGCAACTTCTAAAACTCAGGAACTCTAGCCAGGGATTTAGCTAAGTGGTTCCGGCACTTGCCGTGCAAGCGCAAAGACCCCGAGTTTGATCCCCAGTACCAAAAACAAACAAAAAACAGGAACTATAATGTCTCAGATGACTATTTAAAATTCTTGTCCATTTTCCTAAATAACTACTTAGAAAATATAGTGGGCTGACAGTATTCAAAGAAAGAAAAAAATCTCACTGGGAGACATATCTAAGACAAAAAGGAGTATTTTTCAGATAGTGATAACTCAGCAGTGCAAGGGTGGCAACCATTTCTAAGTTTTTAAAGTTCAGAGCCGCAGTTGAATTCCATCAGCATTCTCTTGGAGGTCAGCAGTTTTGACTACACTTCATGTGTTACAAAATTCAGAGCAAAATAATTGAGAAAGGTGTGTGGATAATTTTGTCCTAGCACCGTTTCAAAAGATAAAAGATACCATGTGCTTTCACGTAGAAGTCAGTTGTTCAGTATAGCACAATATATTTCCCAAACAGACCTCAGATATTTAGGAGTTTAGTGTATGTGTTAGCATATGGTGCATTACAAGACACCTTTATTAAGTGAGACTGGGATGGCTAACATAATCAAACAGATTTTATTACTGTATTACCAGTTGCTCTTGTGCCTGCTTCCCTACAGTTCCTTAATGTTTCCATTCCATCCTTTATGCTGCTACCAGTTAGACAACTTCAATATTCAGTTATTGTTCACCAGCATATGTAATAATTGAAACTTTAAGGATAATAATCTTGTATTTATCATGGTTGTAAATAGGCTAGTTTAATTTTGTAGCCCTGAAGGAAAATTATTCTCCACTTATTCCTAAGAAGTGCAGTTTGAAAAAAAAAAAGTGCAGTTTGATCAGTATTACACAGAATCCAGATCTACAGTTTGTCTCCAGAGTTTGTTTTCATTGTAGGTAGGCAAAATGACTGTAACCCCTGATACACACTTCAGCTTACTTCCTTGAGCCCTAAATTTCATCTGCCATGATTCAATCTTCTCTCAGATGTCTTTTCTTTGCTACTTTCAGGCCTTTGCCTGTTTTCTTCTCCCTGCCAGTAATGTGTTTCTTTTACACTCTTCCCATCTTTTTGTGGCTTACTCATCCTTGGAATTATAACCAAAATTACTCTCCCCTTCCTTAACCTCAATTAAGTTTTCTTGTCTGTCTACAATAGAAAGTATCTTTCATTTCCACTATTCCAATGTTTTACACTCTTCCTATTAATGTACATCATGTGCCTCGGTTTAGTTATTTATATTTATGTACTTCCCTGGAGAAGTCTATAAAAACAAGACGTAGTTTCTGAACAATAGTAAGAGCAATGAACATGCAAACCACTAAAATGCACGTTAGGAAGAAACGGGTGCCAAACAAGTAGTATGCAAAGAATGGCCATTCTGAGTTAATATTTGGGAATAGAGAAGACCTTATCAGACTTCATTTGAACCTTGAGAAGTGAAATGAACATGATTTAGCTACATAGAATCTAGACAGAAGAAAGAAAAACGTGAACATCAAAGAGCCATTTGTGCAAAGAAATGCATCGAAAGATGAGATACAGGCAGTTTGGGGATACCCCATAGCAAGCCCCTGCTCTAAGTTTGGCCCTCTTCCCTAAAGAATGAGGTTGAGGTAGTCATGAAAGTTCAGTTTTAAGAAAGCAGATGTGATTACAAATAAGATCTTAATATAGTTAAAAACTTAGATACTGTTGAGATAAAGTATAGTTCAGTGGCATAAATTTGAAAACATGAAAAATTATCTCATGGCACATGTATGTGTTTTTGAATTAACATCCTGAAGTTCATCTAAAAAATGCCTGTGGCAGCTTTGACTATCACATATATTTATACTATGTTTATGCATATATAAAATACTTCTTATTTTCTTCAGTGATGCATCTACATTTTCTTGCTACTTGTGAAGATCAGCTGACAGTTTTATACACAGTACTCATGTATCCTTGAAGTTTGATATACTCAAGCATATTTAGCCAATATTTTATTTATTAAGTCAGATACTTTTAAAATATTCACTCCTGGGCCGGGGATTTAGCTCAGTGGTTCTGGCACCTGCCTCGCAAGCACAAGGTTCTAAGTTCGATCCCCGGTTCCAAAAAATAAAAAAATTAAAAAAATAAAATATTCACTACCTGGAATTGCCTCTTAAGCATTTCTTCTATAAATTAAGAATTTACTAATAGCAATTTAATGAGGATTTTCAAGGTAGATTAGCAGAGAGTAAAGGAGTTAAAATTTCTAAATATCTTGTGATTAATGGCACAACTTGCAATAAAGAACTTTAGTATTTAAGACTGTTTTACCTTTTGGGTCTTCCAGTTTGCATGCAGTTGTAGTCTTTGTGCTAGTTACTTTCCAACATGACGGTCCTCTCTAGGAACCAGATGCTTGGGTCGTTAGAAGCATCACTGAAAATAGATTGATTTTATTTTTAAGAGAGTAAATTCAGAACTCTAAAATATTTAATTATACTTTTTATACATTGTATCAAGGCTTCAAATTCTGTATATTTAAAAATGAGTTGATGTTTTAACAGTTGTCTGTATTATTTTTCTATTTAGCTTATAATGATATAATCCTTTTTGTGTGTTGTTTAGCCGTATATGTGGGAGTCCGTGTCCAGCAGTGTGGCCTGATGTAATCAAGCTACCATATTTCAACACTATGAAACCAAAGAAGCAATATCGCCGAAAGTTAAGAGAAGAGTTTGTTTTGTAAGAAAGGGATGCTTAAACATCCATACTGCATTGAATATTTTTTTTAAAGTTACTTCTTGTGAATTCTAAATACCATTCTGTCCTCTGTTGACCTGAACTAGATCTGTCACAATCTTCTAGGCCACTTAAGTTTGAGTTTCCTTTTGCTACATGCAAATTGTCTTTTAACATCTGTATGGAATCAGTGATTTGGGTTGTTTGTTTGATGTGTTGCTTACATGAGAGAATTTTGAAAATAAGGTTTTACATTTTCTTAGTACATCTTTCAAATTAATTGAGCATAGGTTTTTGTTTTAAGAAACTATTATTTTGTTCAGATGTGTATGGTGGCACACACCTGTAATCCCAGCACTTGGAAGGGTGAGGCAGGAGAGTCATTGAGTTACAGGTCAGCCTGGGCTATATAGTAAGTTCAAGGCTAGCCTTAACTACACAGTGAGACCTTGTCTTAAAAAACCAACAACAAAAAAAGAACTATTGTTTTGTTAAGTTTTTAAAATATAACAGCAAATTACCCATAGAATAATATACTGTTGCTTGCCATATCGTTAAAAAATTGTGTAAAAAAGTGAAATAGTTCTTCAAAGAAAATTTGGCATTTATTGAAGTAAAGTATTATAAGTATATAAGTATTGGCATTTAAAATAACAATTTCAAAATTTTAATTTATAATAATTTACATTAAAATAACATTCCTAAATAAACACTGAGCTTGTGTCTGGAGAATGTATATGACTTTTGTGATCCTCTCATGATAGCATTCCTGCAGCTGCACTAGACTTATTTGATTACATGCTCGCCTTGGATCCTAGTAAGCGCTGCACTGCTGAGCAGGCTCTTCAGTGTGAGTTCCTACGAGATGTCGAACCCTCAAAAATGCCTCCACCAGAGTAAGTGACTTTTGGTTAGATCCCATGTATGCAGAATCTGGACATTTTTGATGAACGTGTATATAGTGATCAGACAATATCCCATGCCTGGTTAGGTCAAAAGAAACAAAAGGTAGATGTAATTTGAACATCTAGAATGCAGATGCTTGCTTTAATGTTGAGCTAACCATAGGATTAGTAAAAGCATATTTCAAGTCTTTAAAAAAAATTACTGCTGTTACTTTTACCACTAGTATTACTTTAGCTAAAATTTTGAGTGCTCGGTAAAATTTTTTCATGTGTTAAATCTGTTTTTTGTTTGTTTTGGTACTGGGGATTGAACTCAGGACTTGCGCTTGTGAGGCAGGCGCTGCACCACTGAGCTAAATCCCTGGCCCTAAATTAACCTTTATAATCCTCTAAGGTAGGTATTATTATTACCACCATTTTACAGAGGAGGAAACAGGCTCAAAGAGGTTAAGAAACTTGCCCAAGAATACACATCTCTTATGAATTAAAGAATATTAATGTATGTATGTATGGAATGAGTTATTGTCTGATGGGGTAAAAATTACATAGTTTGAGAATCAGAATAGCTGGGTTCATGCACCCTCACTTTCTTAAGACTCCTATGATTTCTCCAGGACTTGATTTGGGGAGAGGGAAGGGAGAATACTTTGTAGGTATTAGTAATTTTTAACATGATGAGGAACATCATTAAAAGCAAGCCTATTGGATGGGGGTGTAGCCCAGTGGTAGAATGCTTGCCTAGCTTTCTGAATACCATTTTTAATAGGCTATTCCTATAATCCAGTGTTTTTGTATGATAATATTAGCACATTTTGTATGAATAAATGGGCTTTAGAGTTCAAATCCTGGCTCTTTCACTTAACAGTTAGATTGGGCTTCTCATTTCTGTGAAGCTGTTGTAATCAGGCTTAAATAAGATCTTGCTGAACTGAATATGGGTGGCCTTTATGGAGTGCTTTAAAAGGCAGAAAGGATCTGACATATTGAACTTGAATCATTCACTGAATTGGTTGTTTCAGTAGTCTTAAAGATTAGCCTGTAGTACAGAGATTTTTTTTTTAAACTTTCGATTTGGAAAAGTTTTAACTCTACCAAAACACACACAGAATAGTACAATGAGAATTTCTTTATCTAGATTCAGTTAATATGTGGACATATTTGTGCTATCACTGTATATCAACGTTTTCCCTGAAGTGGTTGAATACTGTCTTATGAAAGTGACACTTTTATAAGTATTCCATTCTATATCTGTAGAAACTAGAACTTCACATATTTATTGGACTTTTGTAAAGCATAAGAAATTTCACATTGATAGCTAGTAGTCTATATTCAGCTTTCCCCAATGGTTCAATAACTTTATAGACTTTCGTAATATAAAAACATTATAATTAGTTGGCATGTTTCTTCAGCCTTTAAATCCCTCCTTGGGGAGGGCTTTTATAATGTGGACATTTTTTGAAACATCCAAGTGATTTGTTTGGTAAAACATCATACGGTCTAGATTTGATTGCTGTCTTGTAATCAGAATTAGATTAATTTTGTTTTTAGGGCAAGAACACTACCTTCATGGTGATGTGTGCATCTATTGTATTACATTAAGAGGAATGTAATATTATATTGTTCCATTATTGGTACTGCTATTTTTAATCATTTGGTTTAGTTGGTCTTCGTGAAAGAATTCTGGTAAAACTGTATGAAGCATATTTTCAGTTGATAATTAAATTTTTTTAAATCAAAGGTTTTAAGTAGTTTGCAGAAGGTATACTTTTCAGTGAATTTCAAATCTTTTCATGTTGAACTTCTATTATTACTCTTACAAGTTTTTATTCTAATGTAATATATTTTAATTACCCTGTTATGCTTCTTTAAGACAAGGATATTTAAAATATTTCTTGTGATTGTACTATAATATTTTATGAATAGTACATATTTCAATCAAATAAAAAAAAAAAACAAGGGCCGGGGATTTAGCTCAGTGGTTCCGCTGCCTGCCTTGCAAGTGCAAGGTCCCGAGTTCGATCCCCAGTACCCCCCCCCCCAAAAAGAAAAATGGTAAATTTTGTTGGAAATGAAATCAAATGAAAGTGATAGGGCTGAGATTTTTTTCCCCACAAGTAATTGGTATACTTATTTCAATAGTACTTATTTTAGAATAAGACATACTTTCACATTAATTGTAATTTTATCTGTCTGTTTTATTTTTATAGTAGTTTGGACTGAATCCAGGGCCACGTGCATGCTAGGTAGCAAATGCTTTACCACTGAGCTATTTCCCTAGCTGTACTTTTTCATTTTATTTACCTTGTAAATAAGTATTTTAGAGTAGAAGGAGTATTGTCATAGTTAATCACTTTGAATTCTTTCCACGTTATGTAACAGAAGTTTTTTTTAATCAGAAATGATTTTAATGACTTTTCATATGTCAACTTAAAACTTTTCCATTTTCTTGACATTGAAGTATTAGAAACCATGTGATTTGCATAAGAATTTCTTATCCACTCATTAATCATTCATGTTTTTCAATGGCTTTACCAGTGCTTATTAAATGACTTTTTCTAATACTTACAGCTTTTTCTTATAAACTCTGCAATTAATGTCAAAGAAATCACATAAGACTTAATTTTTATTAGAGCACACCTGACTGCATTTTTCCGTTAAAAACAGAAATGCACATTTGCGGAACCTTCTGTAAACCAGTAACATTTTATAGAATTTACCCTGTTACATGCATTACTAAAGCAGTCAGGTCGAAATTACAATGATGTTGAGTCAGTTTAAATAAGAGTTGGGATGTAGCTCAGTGGTAGAGTCCTTGCCTAGAATATTGCAAGGCCCTGGGATCAGTTCCTAACACCTCTTAAAAAAATTAGAACCAATCGAATAGAAACTAACCAAACAAAAACATTTAAATGAAAAGCTATATCAGTAACATATGACATCTCATTATGTTGTAATAGGATATTAGAATAGCTAAAAGTATAAGTCTTTTTTGAGGTAGTGTAGTAAGGATCATGAAGACAGGATGTCCCTCTGGAAAATGTATGTATCAAATTCTTTTGATCACTTTTGTAAAAAAATCAAATGACAGGAATATTAAATATCCAAAGTAGCTTTGTTAAATGTATTTAAACATCTGTCAAATATTTCTGATGTATTTAAGGAAAAAATAAAGTATATGTAGCTAAAAAGTGAATTAGGTTGGCAGCTAGCCCATAGTTTTGTTTTTATATTCACCACAGTATAAAAAGCATTAAACAGTTTATAAAGTGAAACATCATTTGTCATTAGCATAAATATTTCATGATGTGACTTGATGGAAAACAGTTTTCAGCTACCTTACTGAATGATGACAATGATATCAAACATGAATATAGTGTGAGAAGCATTGTCCAAGTGCTTATGTTAACATTTTACCTCTATCTGTATGAGATAGGTAGTATTGTTAATTCATTTTATTGTAGTATTTTGGTTTCTTGAGACAGTCTCTCTTTGTAGTTAAGGCAGTCGTTGAACTGACTAGATAGGCCAGACTGGCCTCAAACTCAAAGCAATCCTTTGCCTCAACCTCCTGGGAACTATGATTACGGGTGTGCACCACATCTCCCAGCTCTACATTTTCAAAGATAAGGAAACAGGCACAGGGGTCAAGTTACTTGCCTAACAAAACACAGCAAATAAGTGGCTGAGCTGGTATTTGAACCTTCAAGGAAGCACATCAGCTTTGGTTGTCAGGAAAACATTCCTGGTCTCTGAAAGAATCAGTATCACTAACCTGTACTGTGTTAGTTATTTGTAGGCTAGTGTTCTGTCTTTCTAGAGATGAATGTTGAGGTAATCCATAAAAAATGTCTTTAACTTTCTGCTGTGGGAGGGAATAAAAGCCCTTTTTATGGATCTCTGCTCTGCTCTCATGAGACTCTCCCACAAGACCACTGCATTTCTTGGCCATCAGGATGGAAGAAGTGAAATTGCTTCCTTTACCCTACTCTGTAGTACTACAGTATATGTGACTTTAGAGTATGCTAAGAGAGTCTAACCCCCACATCATACAAAGCACATGCACATACACAGAAAGGAATGTCTTTGGAGGGTTTATGATGCCTTAAAGCTTCCCAATATCAATATTTCAAATTGTCCCTTTGTTTGTCACTCCAGGAGGTTTATACACGCTGAGGCAATGCACCATAGTAAGATGGCTAAGAGGTATGCTTTTGTTTTGTTTTCAGACCTCAGGTGCATAGACTTGGTTTAATCATAATCCTCATGTCACTCATCATTGGTCCATGCATGGCTCTCTTTTGTTTATTTTAATTACTTTGATAGTCATTTTAAATAATGGTAATAAGCAGCCATGAACCTACCAACCAAAAGCTAGAACTTTGAAAATAACCTACTTTAATCATATCATAACCCCTCCTCTCACCCACTTGTCACCTCACCCTTCTTCCACTTAAGGTAACCATTGTCCCCTTTTTTTGTTTTTAAGTTTTGGTATATACTTTTTTGTTGCCATCTGTACGTACTTTCATAAAAAGTTATATTTTAAAATTTTTAGTTTTTAATTTTATAAAAGGGTGTCAATACTGTTTGTAATCTTTTGGAAATGGCCTTTTTAAACTAATATTGCTAAGGTTCAATCATACTGTTGCATATGCCTTTATAACACGAGGTAACAATAATTGTGAAAGAGGAGGTGTGAAAGAACTTGCCTGAACATGCAGGCCATTCTCAAAAGTTCAGTCTTAGAAAAGAGGATATGTGGATATGGAAATTCCCTTAAACCAATTCTAGGTGTACCCTTTGGAAAGTCTCAAGGATGTGTACCCTTCAAGGTAAACATCCAGGTTGAGGACTTTGGGTAGATATCGTCAGGTGGGGTTGCTTAAAGGAATTTATAGGTATTCTGGGCAATTTTATTAACCTTTCCAAGCCTCAGTGTTCTTTAAAATAGATACACAAAAATCCATAGGTTTTTTTTTTTTTTTTTTTTTCAGTATGAAGAAAACATTTAAAAATCAAATATTTATGTCTTTCTTTAAGCAGAAGTCATTCTGTAATGTTACTGCTTTTGTGAAATTACATTAAGATAGAATTGTTTCAGAATTGTGGGTGACTTTTATAGTTAACTAGTTATTCAGAATTTTGTTGGTAACTGATGAGCCTCTCTGTGCCTCGAGTACCTATTTTTGAAACTCACCTGTAGCTTCAATTTGAAGTCAGAGCATTTGGTTATAGAAGCAAATAAGAGGTTACTAAAAAATAAAAAGATTTATTATAAAGTTTTTCATAAATTGTTATATTCTAGCTTTTACTCCTTTATTGTTCGTGTATCTAGTTTCTGCAAAGGCATATTTCTGCCTCCTTCCTGTTCAATGTATAGTGTATTTATTAAGAATTGCCTTTAAAAGTTTGCACCAAGGATAATGCTAGCCTGCTTTAATGAATATATATTTGTCATTCATAATTTATCAGTTATTCAGAAGCCAAAGAAAAATAGTCCATCTGCAAAGGTAAAGCTGAAGATGGTGGGCCATCAAGGATGATTGTTTTTTTAAGGAGTTTTACAGAATCTGTATATGGAGTCTTCAACAATGACTTAGGGGACAGTGATGGCTCTGGTTCTATATTGTAACTTTAGAATATTTTTTTAAAATGTCGTTCACAACTCTGTACTTACATATTTTTTCAGCCTTCCTTTATGGCAAGATTGTCATGAGTTGTGGAGTAAAAAGCGAAGAAGACAGAAGCAGATGGGCATGACTGATGATGTTTCCACAATTAAGGCTCCCAGAAAGGACTTGTCTCTGGGTTTGGACGACAGCAGAACTAATACACCACAAGGTGTGCTGCCAGCTACACAGCTAAAATCTCAGGGCAACTCGAATGTAGCACCTGGTCAGTAATGCTTCTGTGGGTTGGTTTTCTTCACGTTGTTTTGTGGCTAATGTTGGTTACATTGCTCTACTGCCAAAGCATCTTGTGGCTGAAAGATGAAAATTAGGGTTTATTCATGAAACTTGACGTTTCTTTATTTTTTGTGCCAGCATAGAAATTGCATTGCTAATGGCACCCCAATTTTAAACAATCTCAAGGTAAGATAATTTTGAAAGAGGCATCAAATTACCTGTGATTGGTGATTGGTCAGATTTTCTTTTTCCTTTTTCCCCTAGTGCAGGAGTGGCTACATCTTTTATTAATACTATTCTTGGGGAGGCTCAGCACTTGGTGTCTGTGGATGCTTAAGGAGTAGGAAGAAGATAAGAAAGACAGCCAAAAATCATCATGGAAGCTCTTTCATGCCACTTGTAATGTCCTCAGGTCACTCTTAATGATAATTCCCCTGTTATATCAGATTTCAGAGATTGAAATCTGATCATTTGGGCCAGAAATAAAATACGATAAAGAAGGATTTTTTTTATATTCAGTTGTTTTGGTAAACCTTATTGTTTCTGGCTCAAATAAGAGTGACCTGCTTTATGAGAAGTTAGCCTCTTCAGTTTTGTCAGAAATATTAAAATTGTCTCCATTTAGTCAGCAACTTGCAAAAAATAAAATTCAGTTCCTCATTTTGCCTGAGGAATCCAGAAACATCTTCAGCTTCATTTTTGTGTGTGTGGTTTTTTTTTTTTGGTGCCAGGGATCGAACTCGGGCCCTTGCGCTTGCAAGGCAAGCGACAGAACCACTGAGCTAAATCCCCAGCCCTTCAGCTTCATTTTTGGAATTTTTATGAAGACAGAGATAGCTAGAAAATGTGAGAGTGTGCATGTATGCATTCGTGGGTGTGAGAGTGAAGGTAGTGATGTATTAAACATGGAAAATACACTAACACTTACTAGGAGATGAGTAAATGTTGATCAGTCAGATGATTAAAATAGACCTGTGGCTGAGATTGAGGTTGTGGTCATTGAGTGTAAATATAGAATAGATTAGCTGAGAAAGATTGCCATTAATGCACAAGCTTATCCGTGACCTTAAGTAGACTACATATTTAAAGTACCTCAGGGGCCGGGGATTTAGCTCAGTGGTTCTGCCACCTGCCTCGCAAGTGCAAGGTACCAAGTTCGATCCCCCGTACCAAAAAAAAAAAAAAAGTACCTCAGACTTTTAAAAGAAATGAAAGCAATGGTTTTTTTGTTGTTCAGAAGTACTCTTACTGAGGGCTACTAGCTGTCATGTTCAGTAAGATAACAAATGTGTAAAATTTGGGCAAAGGCAAAAGAGAATATAAGTTTTCCTAATTTGTGTTTATGTTACATGTTTTGCAAACCATCTACTGCTAAAAGAGGTTTTGAGAGGAAATTTGGATGGTGTGGTCAGTTATCCCAGGTTGTGGTTGTTATATAACAAGACTATCAGGAGACTAGGAGTAAACCTAATACAAGCTAGTTATTTTACTCTATTTTATCAGATAAAAGATGGATTTCCCTGTCTAGGCTCATTTAGTGATTGTTACTTAGGTCTTATTTTACCTCCTAATTTTTATTAGAGAGGTTTGGTTTTTTTCCTTCCTTTTTTCCCCTCTTCCTTTTCTGTTAAAGAATATTGCCCTGAGTTCACATGAAGACTATTTTTGCTAGTAGAAAAATATAAAGGAAAAATGCCTCTTGGTATATAGCAAATAAACATGGTTTCTTATTGCAGATCATAAGAAGAACTTGGAAAAGTTTGTTTTGAATTAACCTAAAAGTATTATTAAGAAGTAATAAAAAGTATCTAAAATATATAAATGTAAAAATACAGCAATATGAATAGCATTAATACTTTTTCATCTTAGAGTTCTCTTGTTAGTCTGTCATCTGGATTATTGGAATTGCTTATGGCACCATCTTATCACTTACTGTATATAATAATATTAAGCATTGGTGGTATATAGGATTCACAAATGTATATATACATTGCCGGTATATATAAGTGCACAAGAACCCATATTAACCTTCCCCAGCTAAACTGAAAGTTGGGAAAACAAGTCTGTTTTACTTGGCAGTTAATCCTGTCATTCATATATATATACATATATATATATATGTATATATGTATGTATATATGCTCTGTAGGCTTTCCTAGTTTACCCATAGTAACTTAAAAAAATTCAATTAAAAACACAGATCCTGTGCTTGCTTCAGCAGCACATATACTAAAACACATATGTTGATCAGTCTGTAAAATATTCTACTTTCAATTTACAGCAGAGGGTAGATTTTCTTTCGTTTAGAGTAGCAGTAGGGTATAGAAAAGAGCCCAGATTCTGGAATTAGAGCTCAGGTCTCTCTTCTCCCACTTACAGAATGAGACCCTGGGCGAGTTGTTTAGTTTCTTTAGGTAAATTTCTTCTTCAATAAAAATAGAAAATAAAAAATAAAAAAGGCTCTAAATATAGAGCCTGCCTTGTAAGATGGTTGTAAAGCATAAAAGGTATAAAATTCTTAGTAATATGACACTCTGTTAGCTGTCATCATCATTATTCATTTGCGTATCATAATATGATATTTCCTGGTGTGTGGGTTCTGGTAATAATTTTGAGTTTCCTTTTTTTTTGGTACCAGGGATCGAACTTGGGTCCTTGTGCTTGCAGGGCAGGTGGTAGAATCACTGAGCTAAATCCCTGGCCCTTCATTTGCCTTTTAAAGTATTTACCTCTAAAGATAACCTATTCAAAACTGACTGCAGTTTTTTTCATCTTGATTTATATTGTAGTTTCATCTTAAATGTTATGACAGTGAACTTGACTGAGCACCCTCTTAGTGTTTCTGAAACACCCTCAAACATACATTTTTTTTTTTTTGGTACCAGGGATTGAACTTGGGTCCTTGTGCTTGTGAGGCAGGTGGCAGAACCACTGAGCTAAATCCCCGGCCCAAACATACATTTTAATATAGTAGCATGAAGCCATTTTGGAGGGTGGGAAGACCTGTGAATTGTGGCAGTTCTAATTAATACACATTTTGTCTTTAGTAATAACAGGCCCTGGACAGCAGTTAAACCACAGTGAATTGGCAATTCTACTAAACCTACTACAGTCTAAAACAAGTATTAATATGGCTGATTTTGTCCAAGTGTTGAACATTAAGGTAAACTCTGAGACTCAACAGCAACTAAATAAAATAAACCTTCCTGCTGGAATTTTGGCAACAGGTGAAAAACAGACAGATCCATCAACACCACAGCAGGAGTCTTCGAAACCATTGGGAGGAATTCAGCCTTCTTCTCAGACTGTCCAGCCTAAAGTGGAGACTGATGCTGCCCAGGCGGCTGTGCAGAGTGCATTTGCAGTTCTGTTGACTCAGTTAATAAAGGCTCAGCAGTCAAAGCAGAAAGATGTGCTACTAGAAGAGAGGGAAAATGGTTCGGGACATGATGCATCATTACAACTCAGGCCACCTCCAGAACCTGGCACACCAGTATCGGGTGAGTGTGTGGCTACTGGGTTACTCTCAGGACTGGATTCATGCTGTTTTTTCTTCAGTGGGCTAGGCCATGTCTCAAAAATGCTCAGGTCACTGGTATTAGGTGGGTTTCCTAGTCTATTTACCAGGAACAGATTCTTTTAACAACTTATCCACGTGTGATATAATGCATTATGAATGCCATAGATTTTTCTAAGACAAACCTATGATTCAGAAATAATCTTTTATTCCAAATACAAAAGGATTCTTAACCAAGGCATAAATATAATGTATATGGTGACTTTTGTACCTCAAGCAATAAATAGGAATATGTGAAATAACTTCGAAAAGCCAAATACAACAAAATATTTCAGGTAGCAGGTGACATTAGCACTTGGAAACATTTTCCCTTTTCATTTAATATTTTTCCAGAATGAAAACATCTAATCATTTTTGGGACCACTCCATAGGAAACATTTACTATTTTGAATATTTAGTTTTTCCATGGTAGCTTTTGACTCTGTTTTGCTTTTTTTTCACTTAGGGCAAGATGACCTCATCCAGCACCAAGATAGGAGGAGATTGGAGCTAACACCAGAACCAGAGCGACCTCGGATTTTGCCTCCTGATCAACGACCTCCGGAGCCTCCTGAACCACCACCAGTCACCGAGGAAGATCTGGATTATCGGACAGAAAACCAGCATGTACCTACTACTAGTTCTTCATTAACTGACCCTCATGCTGGAGTGAAAGCAGCCCTGTTACAGCTGCTTGCTCAGCATCAGCCCCAGGAGGAGCCCAAACGAGAAGGTGGTATTGATTATTCAGCAGGAGACACTTACGTGCCTACTTCAGACTACAAGGACAGCTTTGGAACATCATCTTTCTCCTCTGCTCCTTATGTTAGCAGTGATGGTCTAGGAAGTAGTTCTGCTGCACCATTGGAACGACGTAGCTTCATTGGAAACTCAGATATTCCGTCTTTGGATAACTACAGTACTGCTTCATCTCATTCTGGTGGTCCACCTCAGCCTTCTGCCTTTTCTGAGTCATTTCCTAGTTCTGTAGCTGGATATGGAGACATTTACCTCAATGCCGGTCCCATGTTGTTCAGTGGAGACAAGGACCACAGATTTGAATATAGCCATGGTCCTATTGCAGTCCTGGCAAACAGCAGTGACCCTTCCACAGGGCCAGAGAGTACTCATCCTTTGCCAGCAAAGATGCACAACTATAACTATGGTGGTAATTTACAGGAAAATCCAGGCGGCCCAAGCCTCATGCATGGGCAGACCTGGACTTCCCCTGCCCAAGGCCCTGGATATTCACAAGGATACAGGGGACACATCGGCACATCAGCTGGCAGAGGTCGAGGCAGAGGGTTACCATATTGAATATCTGTTTTTCCTCAGGCACATCATTTTTATCTGGAAAGACTTTCTAGCTGCAATTTAAGGCAGTAATCCAAGAGACTTGAATAATATTAATTCAACAACAGCTTTATTTTTATGTGGAAAAGGGTCTTGCATACAATAGTTTAAAAAAAAGAAAAACTTTGCTTAAATTCATGCTGTTCTTAAAATTAGATCTATTGATTGTACATCTTCACAAATTCTAGTTAACAATTTTATTTTGTATTCTTGCAGTTTTAAGTGGATGCTAATCTTAGGGACATAAGCTTTTTATGGCCCTCTTGCAAATCTTCTGAACTATGCACATTTGTGCTTTTTTTGTAAGTTTGGACCAACTTTTATGTAACAAACAACCCTTCCCTGCCCCCCTCCAGTTTTACAACAATCAGAAAGGGCACTGATTTATTTGGTATTTTTCTTTTTACAAAGCTACCTTTAGTCAAAGGTCACTGTCAGTCTTTGCACCTGCTTTCAGTGTTATTGTGAAAGGTGTACTTTGTGCTCATTTCAGAAAATAAAACACAACCTTTCTCTTGATGCAACAGTTTTATAAAAAAAATGGTCAATGTTATTTTTGTTTTGTTTTATGATTACCATAGCCTAGCAAAATGCATTCAAATGAAATAGTGGGTTTTATATGAAAAATATGGGTGGGGTGGGGAGGGCTAAGTAAGTGCCTTAACAGGTAAGCTTAAAGTCTGAAAAAGCAGTTTACACCCATTTATCTTTTAAAGGGAATCAATGCATTGTATTGAAGAGGTAGGAGGCTCTCAAGTTTTTAGGGGCTGCCTGTTCAGTTCCTGTTAGGTCCATTCCCTCTGCCTGTTAGACTTTCACCTTTCCTGCCTGTCTTTGGGCTGTGTTAACTTTTATTACTGCCTTCTCCTGTTAGGGGAGTGAGAGCAAAGAAAGGGAGTAGAACTGTAGCCAGTATCTTCTGTCACTTCTGAGAAGTTCTAAAATGTTTTTTCATTTAATGGTTGAAAGTAGTAGCTACATGAGAATTTTAGAGTAGTGTTTTAGGCTGCCACATTGTCTCTGTTTCCATTTGGAGGACAGGAGTTCAGAAGCAAGAATTAGGAACAGATTTTACATAAATTCATTAAACTTTATGGGAGGAGGGGTGGCAAACACAGTATTTAAGTTTTTCAATTGCCATTTTAAGAAAAAGCCAACTTGTTAACTAGAAACATTGCCTAGATTGAATTTATTGAAGCAAGCAGAAAGAAAACAAAACCTTTTACTTTTCTTCCCTTCTATAAAGTTTATTATGGCTTTTGCCAGACTTTTTCTTTCATTAAAAGTAATGAAATTGGAATAACCTTTATTTAAACTGTAATATTGTCAAGTTTCAAGTTTTATGTACGTGTATACACACACACACAATTATAATATTCTGGAAAGGAACCAAAGGCAATTAACCAGTATATCCATCATCACTAAGTGAAAAAATAGGCTTTGCAAATTTAAAATTGTGCCAATTAACCACTTTGCTTTAACTGTTCTGGTAACTTACTTTTTTATTGGAGTCTTAAACTGGAATAGCTGTTAGAGAATGAAGATTGCTCCAGGTCTAAGAGCCAGTTAACCCCGTGCTTTCTGTTTCTCTGATTTGTGAACTTGCACTTCAAAACAGGATATGGTAGACATTACAGTTTGGTAACAGTAAGAATATGTTAAGATGCCTAAGTTACCACTTTAGTAGTATAAAATGAGTTGATGTTAGTTGGCCATTTTATTTTTTGATGTAATGTTTTGTTTGGGGGAGAAAGAAATGAATGGAAAAATTATTTTGTTTTTATTTGAGTACTAACAACTTATAATAAAACTACAAGAAGTGAAGAAATATTTTGAAATTTAGCAAAATAGCTACAGTATTCAAGTCTCTGAAATTTTAATATGGTGAGTTGTAGAGCTTTAGACTTTCTTATAAGTGACAGTATCTAAGTTATTCTTAATAGTCACACTTGATAATTCTGCTGATCATAAGCAGCTAACCTAAATTTAAAAATATTTATGTGACATGAATAGCCTGTGTTTTAAAAATTAAATATTTTATATAAAAGTGAACTGTGTTTGGATAGTTTTTCTAATTAAGCACTTCAGTTATGTATTTATGTTGGGAGAGTGGGACAACAGATTGTTGGCTTTGAAATGAAGAATTTGAACTATACCTTCTATCCTAAAGACAGCATTGTTTGTGAGCCATATTAATATTTTATGTACCACTTAGAAGAAAAAAGTGTTGCCTGTTAAACCATAATACAATGCTCAAAGTCTATCAATTGTAAAATAATCTTATATTCAACGGTATTGTATTAAAGAATATGTCTTAAAATTGATGAAATATGGTAGTAAAAAAATCTTAATGCAGGCTTCCATGATATTTAATTCAGTGAATTGGATTAATAAAAAGAGGGTTGGGAAATCACAAATTCTTTAGCTTATAATAACTACAGTAATCACTGAGTATTTTTTAATGAAATCTGAAGAGCATAAAATACTGCTTAATTTTTTTTTGGAAAGAAGCAGGTAAGTGAGATTGCAAGTAAGAAGATGAAATTAGAAAAGATTGACCTATGTAATGGAGAAAATATTTATCGTCTCCCATGTGAAATTCCATTTTGTATTTCCTGACACAGCAAGTTCTGCATGTAACTGTGTGTGGTTCCCAAATCTTCAATCCATTATCTGTTGGGGATTTGAAATTTTAAACTAAAGGGGTTACTGATTCAAATAATTTGTGGAATGTGAATTACTTTAGCTGTAATTCAGTGTTTCATTGCTGTCAGCAATGATATATTCACTGCCTACCATGTGCCAGGTACTATTTTAGTCCTTGGGATACATCAGTAAACAGGAATGGTGTTAAATTATCTAGTAGGCTGGCAGCAAAGTTTTAAAAATGTCTGGAGAAGCTAGTGGTATCTGCTACTCCCAGCTGTATCCAAATTATACTTAAGTGTGCATAAGGATGGAAATTTGAGTATCTGTAAAATTTTAAACTGAAACTTGAATAGGAAATAAGGTTTTTAGAAGAAATAGAACAACAAATTCAGTGATGAAAATTTTTAAGTTGAATTTGGCTGATTTGTGATAGACAATTTGTAAGAAATACCATGATTACTCAAGAAAAACGAAAAGGATATGGGTTAAATGCTTCTGAACTCATGTAACTGGTACTTGTGAGTTAAGATTTTAGTGTAATTTTCTATAAGCTCAATCCATTTTTTTTTTTTTTGGTACTGGGGATTGAACTCGGGACCTTGCACTTGCGAGGCAGGCAGCGGAACCACTGAGCTAAATCCCCAGCCCAAGCTCAATCCAATTTTGATTTATTTTAGCCCTAGGCTTTAGTAAAGCTAAATACAAATTTTGCATACATGTTTAGTGATTCCCTTGGATAATGGTTTTGGTATTTTAAACAGCCTGAACAGGATGTACCAATAACATAAAAGCGTAATGTAGTTAGTCTCCTCACTATGCAGCTAATAAAGATGAGGCTTACAAGGATCACAGGACCTTTTTTAGGACAACTGTATTTCCAGTGTTTGTTCCTGGCTCATTATCTAGCTTAATGGTAAAATTGCATTAACCTGACCAGTGTTACAGTAAAGTTAAATTTTTAAATGTAGAATACCAGACTAATAGTTTAACGCTAGTAGCTTTTAAAAAGCTTAAGACAAAGTTTCTTTTAATTCAGAAAAATAAAATAAAATATTTCGAAAATTAATAGTGTGTAGGAACTGTTCATTTCACATACTGCATTGGTTATTTTCCTGTGGTACTGGTGATCCAGCAGCCCTTTTAAATTTTTAAATTTTTGAGACAGGGTCTCAGTAAATTGGCTATACTGGCTTCAAACAGTTCTTCCCTCCCTCCTTCACTCTCTTCCTTCCATCCTGGGACTGAACCCAGGGATGCTCTGCCACTTAGCTACATCCCCAACCCTTTTTAGTTTTTATTTTGGGACAGCATCACCCTAACTTGCCCAGGCTGGCCTCAGACTTCTGGTCCTCCTGCCTCTGCCTCAGCCTGCCTACTAGCTGAGATTATCTCTGCCCAACTTTCAATAGTACTTTAAAAGAAGTTCCTGAGGCTGGAGGTGTGGCTCCGTGGTACAACATTCCTAGCAAGCCTTGGGGTTCCATCCCTCGCACCAAAAACAACAACAACAAAAAGTTTTGTTTAAGACAATAATTAAATACTGGAGAATTTGATAAAAATTTTCATAGAAATAGGCTATTTATACAAGGACTTGTATCAGTAGGCCTGCAAAAGTAGTTTGCTTTTCAGTCTTTTGAGAGTTTGTAATTTCAAATGTCTTTCTAGTGGGAGTAATGGTTTGTCATTTACCAAAGACTTCTCCAGACAATTTTCTTCATTGTTTCTTTTATTAAAAATGAGCTATTAATAATCTACCATGGGAACTAGTTGAGGATGGGGAAAGCAAGCTTTTGAACATAATGGAAATGACTTGCCCTTTGAATTACATAGACTAACAAATTTTGTGAGTCTTCCTTGACTAGTGAAAAGAATTTTCTAGTTCTGATTGTATTCAAATTATGCTCTGTAGTAAATAGAGAATCCCCCTTTAAGTTTTTTCTCAGTTACTTATTGTAAAGCTGGTGTACTTTTTTGCAAGAACTTTTAGTAAAGTCTTGTAACTGTTTAATGTATTAATATGACCTTTTTTTAAAGGCTGTATTTGATAGTCTGTAAATAAACTGCCATCGAACTCCAGGTCATTTTTTTAAAGCCTTGTTTTCTTTTTGCTTATATCCAGAACAGACTGTTAATCTTTTCTGGTAAAGATGAACACTTGTAACTCACTGTGCCATGTTTTTTGAGAAAGCTTAAAACCTGGAATCCTCAATTTTCCCCCTTGTAGACACATGTATTCAGAAATAGTAGAACAGCCAGAGATAACTACTATTAATATTTTGCCTTTTGTTTTGTTGTTGTTTGGTTTGGTTTGGTTTTTTTCTTTTGGTACCGGGGATCGAACTCAGGTTCTTGCACTTGGGCAGCAGGCAGCAAAACCACTGAGCCACATTCCCCAGTCAATATTTTGCCTTTCGTACATGAATACATATCTGGGTTTTTTTCCTTAAAGATGAGATTATGAGTCCCCCCAGCTTTGTAATATTTTCATTTAATACATTGTGAACATCATGTCAGTTAAATTATTTTCTTTTTAATAGTTGTAAATTATTTACAGAACCATAGTTTAACAATTCATTTTTGCCAGGTACAAAATTTCTAACTTCTATTATAAATAATGTGAAAATCTACCTACAACTTCCTCTGAGTTGCTGGTATAAAATTCACTTTTAGAACATTGCTAAATCCAGATTGCTGTAAAGAGAAGTTTGCCAGCTTTACATTCCTGCCCCCTTCCTTTTTCATGTAGGTGTTTGGGTATTCAACATTTTTAGATCTCTGTGACAGGTGGTAAATTATACTGTTTTAATTTGATTTTGATTATTAGTGAAATGTGTGTATTTCATTTGATAGCCAGGTCTTTTTCCTGGTCATTAACTATTCATATGTTTAATAGGTTTTTTTCTCTACTGCTTTGAAGAGGTTTTTCTGTAAGGAAGGTAGTATCTCTTTGTGAACTCTGTATCTTAGAGGCTTGTCTGTGGTGGTTTTGTTAGAGCATAATTTAAAATTTATATGTAGTCAGCTCTGTTAATCTTTTCTTTATGGTTTGTCTTTAGAAAAGCTATCTTTACTCCCAGACCATGTAAATACTTGTTTTACTCCCTGGTGTTCTACATTAATTCTAAACCATTCTAGAATGGTTATTTTGTTAGATGTGAAGTATGGATCCAACTGTACAATTTTTCTTCATGGCCATTCTAATTATGCCAATGGCATTTGTTAGTATATTTAAAATGCCATCTATATCTTATTTGGGTGTTTTCTTGGGCTTTCTGTTGTATTCTACCTTGATCTGTTGTTCTTAAAGGTACTAACTACGCTTGTATCTTGATTACTATGCTCCTGACATTGGGTACATTTTTTTGAATCACTGTATTTCCAATTCCTAGAATAATAGTACATACAGATGATTTGTAGAACAAAATTTAATTTGTTTCCTTTTCTGTGTTCTATTCCTGCTGGTTTATTTCGTCATGTGAGTTTTAAAAATTATTTAGTTCACTTTACCCAAGTATCCTGTTAAGAGGTGGGGGTTTTTTTGGTACCGGGGATCGAACCGGGTCCTTGCGCTTGCGCAGCAGGCGGCGAAACCACGGAGCTAAATCCCCAGCCCTACTGTTAGTTTTAATTGAAAGTATATTGAATGCTTGTTTGCTTAGTGGATCTTTCCATTGAGAGCACAGTAGGATCTTTCTATATTTCCTTTTATAAGTTGCACAATTTTCTATATACTTTTGATGCACTAGTTTTAAAACATTACAAAATCATTTTATTGCTTTTAGACATGGACTCTTCAAATGAAATGTAATAGGAAAGCTAGTATGTTTTTAAAAAACTGGCCACATTACTTAACTCGTTTCTAACAGTTTTCAATTAATTGTGCATAATGGACGTTCTGATTTTTATGAATGTAATTTTTAGTGTTTCACTTGTACACATAATTCAAACTATATTAGAAATAGAATAGTCTTGTGTTTAAATTTTTTCATGAAGCCTACTTAATAGGGTCAGGTGTTAACTTTTCTTTTAAAAATGCCAATATGTGGATTTTCTCCTTTATTGATGAAAAATACTAATTATATTAATAGAATCAGTATTAAAGCATCCATTAAAATGGTGCTGCAGTCCATTAACTTGCCATTTTTTTAGGATTTTCTATCTGTATGTATGAGATTAGTCTGATTTTCATTTTACAGCTTATGATATATTGAGGGAAAAAAACCTAGAAAACTCTTATTTAGAATAGTTTGTGTCCCTAATAGGGATTAACTTTTTTTGAAATTGAAGCTATTTACTGATATACTCATGGTTATTTTCTCAAAGATAATTTGTTCACATCTTTTCCATTTCAATTTGTGGTCTTGATCTGTGTATGGCTTTGTTTCATAAGTAAATCTTGGTGATTTTCCTTTTTCTGAAAATTCAATTTTGCCTTATATTTAAAAGATTTTTAACATGTGGGTGTACATAATAATTTCAATATTTAAATACATAAATCATCTCTTAGCTTTTTGTATTTTTTTCTTGTTTTTTATTTGCCAGTCTGAATTGTGTTGTCCAGGCTGGCCTTCATTCAACTCCTGGGCTCAAGCAATCCTAGCTCAACATGACTAGTTTGTCTGGTGGTTCTTTTTTTGATTAGTTTATCTAGGGTTTTTCTGAGTCTACCTCCATTCTTCTCACTACCAGGAAATAATCTGTAGTTTATTTTCTAATTTATGTCACTATTTTGATTTTGATTCATTCCTTCTATTTCCTTTATTTTTCTTCAACTTAATAACTGATCCCATTTAATTTTGTTCTAATTCTAAATGAAAGCATTTTAATGCTATGAATCTGATTATTTCTTTGGCTTGATCCTGTAGGTTAAAAATACTGTATTTCCATGTATTATTTTCTGCCTATTTAGTGGCTGCAAATTTTTTCATATGATTCAAGAATTAAGATAGTATGTTTCAATACCCAGGTGATTGGACATATTTTTAGTCTTTTGCTAACATTTTTTCATTCTAATACATAATATTAGTGTGTGTAGTCTGCTTTGGAGAATTTGTTAAGGACTTCATTTTTACCTGCTAAGCAAACATGTTTTATAAGTATTTCCTGGGTGCCAGAGTGTACCTACAGTACAATTTGTCATAAACACATTGAAATAATACTAGTTAAACACTGGTCAGATTCCCTATATCCTTATTTCCTCCATCCTTATTTCTGTGTCACGGAGTGAGAAAGGTAAAATAAAATCTTACATACTACTATTAGGTATTTTTTCTTATATCACTAATCTTATTTGTCTTATATACTGTTTATTATTCAGCACATAAAGTTTATAACCAAGTAAATCTTTGTTCTTATGTTTTTGAGTATTTTAATTTTGGCTTCAATTTTAGTATACCGCAACTACTTGGTGTTCTGTTTATGCTCTTTGGATGCCTTTTTCCTTTTTTAAAATAACTTGCTAGTTTTGTTTAGTTTTTTGAGACAGGGTCTTGCTATGTAGTTCATGCTGCTCTTGAACTCACTATGTAGGACAGGCTGGCCTCAAACTCAGTGATCCTCCTGCATCAGCCCCTGAGTGCTGGGATTACAAGCATGTGCAACCAACCACACCTGCTTCTTGATAGTTTTGTAATCATTCCTGGAGAGAATTTAAAAATTTATATTTTGGGACCTTCCATTGATTTACCATGTATACATTGTTTTCCAATCACTTGTAAATATTTAAGACATTTTAAAAAGATTTTTGTGATGTTAGGATTGAACCTAAGATCTCACACATGCCAGGTAAGTCCACTACTCTCAGCTTAAATACATTTTTTAAGCAAATAACTTCAGAAATAAAAGTTGGTATAGACAATCCCTTATTTAAAATGAAATTTGCACACTTTCATTCTAGCAGCTACTTCCCCATTTATTTTGCAGTATAATTTATGATTTTAGAATCACTTTAAAAAAAAAAGTTTTAACTTCGTATGAAATTGTTTATCATTTCCAAAAATCTAATTCCTGAAAAATACTTGGTAAAATTCTAGGCACAACATTTTAAGATCAAAAGTAGATAAAGATACCAGTTTTTATCATGTGATCGATATTTTTGTGGCAAATGTTTGTTACATAGTTAGAAAGGAGGCAAGAGAGAAGGAAGAAAGGAGGGTTTGGAAAGGAAGAAAAAATTCTCCATGTCAGCTTATAGACTTTTCATGTAAAATACCCCAAAGAATTCACAGAATTGTTAGCATTAGTGTGAGATTTGAACAAGTCCCTAGAAACAAAATTAATTTTGAAGGATGAGAAATTGGGATTTCCTCTACCCGTTATTATGGTTCTTAGGACAATTTGTCATTAAAATAATGAGATTTTGAAATAAATGCACACTTTGAGTAGGTTTGGGTGACAAATGTTGAAGAAAAAATGCATTTTGATGTAGCAGTTTTACTTGTGTAAATCTGTAACTCAGAAAAAACCGGTATGGATACATATATATATATCTTCTGAAATAAAAGTAAATATTTATCTGTAGGAGAAATATTAAATACGGATTCAAGTATAGCATGACTCCATTTGATTAAAGAAACCTCTATATACAGTGCGTAGGAAAGGAAACTGGGTTATAGCACAGGCTAGTGAGGATTAAATTCTGCCTTTACCATTTTTTAATCTGCATAGCATAGCCTTAGACAAATTATTGGCTCTGTTTCTCAGATTTTTCATTAGTCAAATGGATATAATGCCTAAAGTTTTGGTGGT